ATTATAGTATCTTTAAAATTTAAAATATTTGAAAGAATAGGAAAAATAAGTAGATACAAAACTAAAAGGATTCCTATAGGGTTGAATAACCAAATAAAGGACCAACCACATACAAATAAATAAAAGATCCACCAAATAGTATAAATAAATAAAGGATCCACCAAATCATGTAAATCCAAAGTTATAGCAAGAACCCAAGAGACAGGGATCATCTATCTTTAATTTCATACACACACACACAAGATATACTGATATAGGTAGGTGTTGAGGGTATAACATTACATATTACATAGTTTAATTCATCCTTGTTTCATAGGTATTTAATGTTTAATTATTTGAATTATGTTAAGATTGGAGTAATTTTGTGCATTTATGGTTGTAGGTACAAAAGGATGTGAAAGGAAGTATGTTGAACAAGCATAAGGTCATGGTAAACATTGGAATGAAGAGGAATTGAACCAAAGGAGCAAGGAGAAAACAATCAGAAAAAGATCACTTCATCAGAGTTCATCAGACCATTAACAGGATATTGTAAGTACTTCAATCACTTCATCGCAGACTTCAACGTGTTGAACCTCTTCTTCAACTGATTGAACATATATCGGTTATGTCACACATGTCCCGAGCTCTTAGTCCTTCGCCGTGAAGTATTTTTACATCCCGAGGGAGGCTACATCTACCCTGGAACTTCATTTTATTGGATGTTGGCACCTCCAACACATCATGGAAGCTTTCCTTTGGACGATCCGGGTGGACGAAGCTTCTTCGACATTTCACCCACCACCCATACCACTCACCTTGGCCAATGAAAAGAGGAGGAGTGCTTTTGGAAGAGTTTTGCATAGTTCTTGTGTTTAGTTTGGAAGTTGAGTTATAAACATCCATTTTCAATGCTTGGCCATGTTTCAAAGAAGACAACTGTTGTGTCCATTTCAAAGTTGTGTTATCTTTGTATTTGAGTTTAGCAATTGAGAATCAATCTTATTTTAAGCATTTATCTTAAAACTATTTGTTTTTTTTACATATGTTTGCTATATTGTTTATTATCGATTGCGAGATTATGAGTTTTGCTTCTGGCTAATTTTCGGCATGATCCGATGGATGATATTGCATAATTAAGCATGATGATTCTCTAATGGTTAATAACAAATCAAATGTTTGTAGAAGGGAAAAATCAATTTTGAATATTAGTTGTTAAGTGACTATTTTGATTTTTCGCTGACTGATCATCTGACACGAGTAATCTTAGAAATCATTTACACAATCTAAAAGCTTATCATTCTCGTTTCTATTTCCTATCTTCAGAGCTACAATAGTGCACAACATGATTTTTGATTGAATATTATCCATTCGAGCACGTTTGATTACAACCATGAACGAGTTAAAATGGAGAGTCAAAATGTTTGGTTATGGAGGATTGATTCTTGAGAATTGGTTGACTGTTTTTTTATCGATTATAATACATTAATATTCCATTTCTTATCCATTCCACAAGTTAAAAGATCCTCGTTTTTATTTACACACACATCACTAATCAAATTCTATTTGTTTTTTGACGAGACGACCTTAGATTTATTCAAATTACTACATAATTTTTTTACGCTTGAGAAGCCTATTATTATATCTTGAGGAGAAGGGATTCACATATAAGTGTTCAAACAGTAGGAGTTCAACATTCCTTTAACATGGTTTTATATTTTACGAGGCAAACAAAAAATCCTTAGTGTCAAGCCTAGTCTTTCACCCAAATTGCCTTGGTGGAGAACCCAATAACTCTGTCCCACCACCTAGCCGAAACCCCCCATTTCCCTCCCTATTCCTAACCACAAGGCTTAGTTAGTGGAGAGCTCATATACAAATATCTATCTATCTATCTATCTATCTATATATATATATATATATANGTCCCACCACCTAGCCGAAACCCCCCATTTCCCTCCCTATTCCTAACCACAAGGCTTAGTTAGTGGAGAGCTCATATACAAATATCTATCTATCTATCTATCTATTTATATATATATATATATATATATGTCAGATTTTTTTGGATGAAAAAAATATCTCCACAAATATCTATCTATCTATATATATATGNCTATATATATATATATATATAAGTCGATTTTTTTGGATGAAAAAAATATCTCCACAAATATCTATCTATCTATATATATATGCATACATATTTATATATCCACCTTTCGAAATTAAACCCAAATTATTTATCGTGATCTACATACTATCTCCACACTAAAAAATTACAAATATGTGATAGATTCTGCAACCTTACCTGTTCCAAGCCAATTTTTTTGAATGAAATTCGATCGAAACATTACCCTCAATTGGATATGATTGACTAAGAAATTGGCCAAATTTTTATCCATCAACTAAGGTGAACAACCTACTTAATCGTATTGTCTAATACTATGACACAACTATGTAACTGATATATTTTAGAGTCCTCTTATGGTCGATAATGCATACTCTCATAAATCATTTATAAACTAGGTTTTGTTCATTTGACTTCAATTTCAAATGGTGCTCTACCTAGCTACAAACTCCGAAGAAAACTACACATCTTAGCCAAACAGTAGATTACCATCCACACCTAATTTCAATAAAACCCAATAGAACATGCCATGAACAGTCTCACCCTTCAATTCTACGTGGCAAAGTCCCCCATCAATCATAACTATCCACGTGTTTACTTCACCCTCCTCCATTTATAAGAAGACGTGAAGAAAAGAGATAAGTAGCTGTAGGGCACCTTACCCCCCCCCCCCCTTTTCATTCATTAGAGGTAGAGGTAGAGGCAGAAGCAGAAGCAGCCACAGCAACACAAATCCAATTAATTATCTGGTTTGGCCACTAGTCAATCTGTATGCATCACTAATAAGACTTGGTTCATGTTGAATTCGTGTTTGAATCGTAAAAAATTGAAAATTTTAAAAATTATAATTTAAATATATATCATGTCATGAATGAATAGATTTCATCAATTTTTTCTATAAAACTCACTTGTTCAACACTAATCCAATAGATTTCTATCAACTTTTATGGACATAATTGCTATTTGTTATTTACGAGTGATTGGAGATATTTAAAATGGATTAATTATTGATTTTTTTTTTTTATCAAAATTAACTTTTTTTTTTAATTTGTAAAAAAAATATACAGATATGTCACTCTACATATCCGTTAAGAAACATTATAGGAGATCTCATTCACTTACATCGAGGCCAAAGCTAAAGTCTCCTCGTTTGCTCCATACGTTGAAGTGTATGGGTTGATAATTAAGGTGGTTGAAACAATGTCAAAGAAAGCATTAGAGCAAGTCATTAGGTGTAGGATTTTATTAACAACAACTATTACTTATCATAATACTGTAAACCCTAACACACCCAAACCCCCAATCCCATATGTATGTATGTGTGTACACAAATACTACCCATTTCCTATATATATATAGATACACAAGTCCAGATATATCATTAAAGACGACGCATAAGTACAACACAAGGAGTAGTTGTTTCTCTCTGTCTCCCAACTCCTCACCTACTCACTTGCATGCCCAAGCCATAACTCCATAACCATCCTCCCAAACCCTCCTCGTTCCTAGCAATTCTATAGCCACCGTTTCCGGCGATACTAACAGTCGTCACAAAATCCGGCGATCTCCAAAGAATCATCTAAACCCATGTACTCACTCCTTCTCTCTCTATTCTGTGTATACCCCAATTTCTCTCTCTAAAACTCAAATCCCGCGATCTCTGCACCGACCCATATATATATATATATATATATATAGAGAGAGAGAGAGAGAGAGAGNCGATCTCTGCACCGACCCATATATATATATATATATATATATAGAGAGAGAGAGAGAGAGAGAGAGGGAGAGGGNAATTATAATTTAAATATATATCATGTCATGAATGAATAGATTTCATCAATTTTTTCTATAAAACTCACTTGTTCAACACTAATCCAATAGATTCCTATCAACTTTTATGGACATAATTGCTATTTGTTATTTACGAGTGATTGGAGATATTTAAAATCGATTAATTATGGATTTTTTTTTATCAAAATTAATTTTTTTTTTTAATTTGTAAAAAAGATATACAGATATGTCACTCTACATATCCGTTAAGAAACATTATAGGAGATGTCATTCACTTACATCGAGGCCAAAGCTAAAGTCTCATCGTTTGCTCCATACGCTGAAGAGTAAGTTTAATTTTAACGAGTTGCCGCAATTATAAAGATTCAAACCGAAACTTTGAACAAAGAAATTTTGGTTCTTACTTGGTAGATAAATTGCTTGTCGACATGGGTTCATAATTAAGGTGGTTGAAACAATGTCAAAGAAAGCATTAGAGCAAGTCATTGGNCAAAGAAATTTTGGTTCTTACTTGGTAGATAAATTGCTTGTCGACATGGGTTCATAATTAAGGTGGTTGAAACAATGTCAAAGAAAGCATTAGAGCAAGTCATTGGGTGTAGGATTTTATTAACAACAACTATTACTTATCATAATACTGTAAACCCTAACACACCCAAACCCCCAATCCCATATGTATGTATGTATGTGTGTACACAAATACTACCCATTTCCTATATATATATAGATACACAAGTCCAGATATATCATTAAAGACGCATAAGTACAACACAAGGAGTAGTTGTTTCTCTCTGTCTCCCAACTCCTCACCTACTCACTTGCACGCCCAAGCCATAACTCCATAACCATCCTCCCAAACCCTCCTCGTTCCTAGCAATTCTATAGCCACCGTTTCCGGCGATACTAACAGTCGTCACAAAATCCGGCGATCTCCAAAGAATCATCTAAACCCATGTACTCACTCCTTCTCTCTCTATTCTGTGTATACCCCAATTTCTCTCTCTAAAACTCAAATCCCGTGATCTCTGCACCGACCCACATATATATATATATAGAGAGAGAGAGAGAGAGAGAGGGAGAGGGGAAGGGAACACGAATGTCTCGTGTTGTTGCAGAGAACATATCGCCGGCTAGAGATAGCTTACCGTTTTTTGACAGCAGAGAAGCGGTGGAGCTCTCTAGCGTCGACTCGTGTACTTCACCGACTCTCGGAGAACTGCTACAGTGCGTCGGTGATGTACGGAAAGAAGTCACCGGAGATGAAACTCCGTCTCATCAAGCCTTTGACATGAGTGAGACCAGCATCGAGCCTCGGGCTTTGCCGTTCGTGCTTTCCTTCAACAACCTCACTTATAGCGTCAAAGTCCGCCGGAAAATGAAGCTTCCGACCATTTTCGGAAGCCAGAACCGCCTCGGTGCTGCAGCAACTTCGGTGGAACATGTTGCCGGTGAAAGCTTGGTCACGAGGACCAAGGTGTTATTGAATGATATCTCCGGCGAAGCACGAGATGGAGAAATACTTGCTGTGCTCGGGGCTTCGGGGTCCGGAAAATCGACGCTGATCGATGCTTTAGCGAATCGGATGGCGAAAGGAAGTTTGCAAGGGTCAGTCACTCTCAACGGCGAACCTCTTGAATCGCGATTACTCAAAGTCATCTCAGCCTATGTAATGCAAGACGATCTTCTCTTTCCGATGCTCACTGTGGAAGAGACCCTCATGTTCGCCGCCGAGTTCAGACTCCCTCGAAGTCTCTCGAAATCCAAGAAAAAACTGAGAGTACAAGCTCTGATCGATCAATTAGGGCTACGAAATGCGGCCAAGACGGTGATTGGTGACGAAGGCCACAGAGGAGTCTCCGGCGGAGAACGGCGTCGAGTATCCATCGGAATCGACATAATTCACGACCCAATCATACTTTTTCTCGATGAACCAACCTCTGGACTCGATTCAACCAGCGCTTTCATGGTGGTTAAGGTGTTACAACGAATTGCTCAGAGTGGAAGCATCGTCATAATGTCCGTTCACCAGCCGAGTTATCGGATCATCGGATTGTTAGACCGATTGATCTTTTTGTCTCGTGGCCAGACTGTTTACAGTGGTTCTCCGGCGAATCTGCCGTTGTATTTCTCTGATTTCGGTCATCCGATACCGGAGAAGGAGAATAGAACTGAATTCGCACTCGATCTCATTCGCGAATTGGAAGGCTCTCGTGGTGGAACCAAAAGCTTAGTCGAATTCAACAAGTCATGGCAAAACATGAAGCGAAGCAGAGCTCGATACATCGATCAAACCCCAAGCCCAACTCAAGGATTTTCATTGAAAGAAGCGATCAGCGCGAGCATTTCACGGGGAAAATTGGTCTCCGGAGCTACGAGCAATGCGAATCCGGCGTCAATGGTGCCCACATTCGCAAACCCATTTTGGATCGAAATAGCAGTGTTGGCGAAGCGATCGTTCGTGAATTCCCGACGAATGCCGGAGCTTTTCTGCATTCGATTGGGTGCAGTTCTGGTCACTGGTTTCATCTTGGCAACGATGTTTTGGCAGCTCGATAATTCGCCGAAAGGTGTTCAAGAAAGGCTAGGGTTCTTCGCTTTCGCCATGTCCACCACCTTCTACACCTGCGCCGATGCCTTGCCGGTGTTTCTTCATGAACGATACATATTCATGAGAGAGACGGCTCACAATGCTTACCGGCGAACTTCATATGTTCTCTCACACTCATTGGTCGCAGTGCCTACTCTGATCTTCCTCGCATTGGCATTCGCCGCCACAACTTTCTGGGCAGTTGGTCTGGACGGTGGAATTTCAGGGTTCTTCTTCTTCTTTGGCATAATTTTGGCTTCATTCTGGGCCGGAAGTTCCTTCGTCACCTTTCTCTCCGGCGTTGTGCCTCATGTCATGCTAGGTTACACTATTGTCGTAGCCATTTTAGCTTACTTCCTCCTCTTCAGTGGCTTCTTCATCACCCGTGATCGAATCCCTCCTTACTGGATCTGGTTCCACTACATTTCTCTAGTAAAATACCCATATGAAGCTGTATTACAGAATGAATTTCAAGACCCATCAAAGTGCTTCGTCAGGGGAGTTCAGATCTTCGACAACACACCACTCGGGGCAGTTCCGATGCCATTGAAGGTGAAGCTTCTGAGCAGCATGAGCAACACTCTGGGCTATAACATCACCAGCACAACATGCGTGACCACAGGGACTGACATTTTGCAGCAACAAGGGATCACTGATCTGAGTAAGTGGAACTGTTTGTTGATCACCATTGCATGGGGTTTTTTCTTCAGAATTGTGTTTTACTTCTCATTGTTGCTTGGAAGCAAGAACAAGAGAAGTTAAATTGTGAAAAGTTTTTAACTTTCAGAAGAAAAATTGTGAAAAAGTTGATGGTGGGGAAGAAGATGATATGTTTGGCGGGAAGTTTATTATATATGTTTTTATTTGAATTTGTTGGATTAATTTTTTTTTTTGTTTTTTATATAAATTGCTTTTGTTTGAATTGGGTTTGGTGAAAAACTGTTGTAGATTATTATATATTATTGATCAATTATGTGTAAATCATGGCCCCAAAGATGGATTAATCATTAATTACTAAAAGTTGGGTGACCAATATTTTTCATTGATTAAATATTTTTTTTTATATGCGATTAGGATATGAATTTGAGTTATCAATGTTGCCATTGGTGATACTTTATCAAAAGTATTAGAACTTTAGTTCTTTTTGGTGCATATTTTAGTAACCGATAATTAGGGATTTGGCTCATCTCTTGTTAATTTTTATTAGCAGACGTCGTTTTGGTGTAAAATGATTCTGTTTTAATCAACACCACCTTTACTGTTGATTTTCTAACACCGATAATTAGTAAAACAATGGATGTAAGAATTTTTTATTTTAATAATCAAAAATCGTCTCAAACTCATTCTATTTGTATTCGTGACAATTACGTAAACTTAGATTTGTCCAATCATCTACAAATTACGCACGTTAAATCAATGAAGATATTTCTTACAAGATTTGAACTTGATAAGCTGAGTGAAATGCTACCTATTCAGTGTTGGAAGAGGATTGAAAGCAAGTGTGAGAAAATCCAAATTGAAAGTTGGCATTTTGAGCCTTGTGATGAAATGATTTTGGTCCTACTTGTGTGTGAACATTACTTCTGTCTGTGAATTGTCTTCGCTAAGAATCAAAAAGAAACTTGGCTGCTTCTAATCATTTTCCCAAAAAGAAAACCCTACCTTTGTACAAAAGATGGATTCAATCATACTCTTTAATATCAATAGTTGTCTTGTC